TGTTTTGCGCTGCCCTCACCGAACACAAGATTCTCTTCCACAGTCAATCTTACAATCGACTTACAGAGTCCTGTCATGCCCTTAAAGCCCTTCTCTATCCCTTCAAGTAAGTCCTGGTATATAAGAAAGTGGTTAATATTTGTTTCTTAGTAAATATAAAAAACTCGCATTTTGGTTTCACAATAGATGTAAGTAACATACTTGATTAATTCTCCTGATACATTTCTTGCCTTAGCTTTACTAGTATTCACTCTTTCTGTCCTTATTATACTTATAATCGTTGTATCAAAAGATTCTTATTGTGAACCTTTCTTCTTCAGGTACTCCCATGTCTACATTCCAATTCTGCCAGCATCTTTGGTTGAAGTTTTGTCCACTCCAACACCCTTCATCATGGGAGTTCATTCTCACCTCCAACATGATGTTGTTGAACTGGTAAGGATTAGATGATTGTTTTTTTATCATTATTATTTTAACTTTCTTATCTGTCTAGACTTTGTTAGCCCACTCCTAAGGCCATGAGAATCAAAGTTCCTCTTTTTATGTCCACCGCCCACAGTTCCTTGCTGTTTCCCAAGAAAATCACACAACGCAACAAGGGCTTTACTCCCATGCATCCACATCATCAATCTGCACAATAAATGTATCTTGCACCTCACCTGCAGTCATGTCTGCCATCACCAGCAAGCTGGCTACGAAGTGGCATTTTGGCATCAGGCTCAGTATAATTTTCATGCAGCTCACTTGTACAACATGTATATTGTGTCATGTGACAATGAACCATGTTGCATGCAATGTGGCATGGACCTTCATGGTGTGGTAGACAACGAGGACACATACCACCAGTGTGATAATTGCCCACAAGAAGAGATCAAGAAAAGGATTTGATTTGATTACTTTGAAAAGCTGTTCACTTATCATGTTTTTTTAGAGAGAATACTTTTACTAGTAAATATGAATGAGTGTCATGATTACCTGCAAGAACTAAGGAAATGATTTGATGACTTTGCAGAGCTGTTGTTTTCTTCTTTAAATGCTTGTAGAAATAAATAATTAAAAATGCCTCAAAACTTATCATTTTTGCCGGGAGACAAGGCAGGAACTTTCATTCTTGTGGCCTAATGGGAGCTCTCGGTACTTTACCAAACCATGCTAGGATACCGTATGGATTCAGTTACTCAATGGAAAAATTAGATAAATGGGAAACATGAATTTGCTCAGCTCTCTGTCTTCTTGGATGTGGCATTAATGGTAATGAGGTAAAAGAAAGTGATTTTAAGTCTACTTTTGAGGGGCTGTCTCCTCAGTGATGGCAGCCAGAGCCAAGAAAGCAAACAACTGTTTTAGAGTAGGCTCTACTACCACATGGCATCATGGGACATCATCCCAATGTGAAATGTGGTCAGTCATGAAGTGATAGGATGGGATTTATCATGAGTTAAGCATTATAAGAGATATTAACTCACAGTGTATGATATGTAGAATATCCAGTCAGTAGTAGTATTCATATTGATGTCCACAGGTAGAGATAATTTGCTTATTATCTCTTTAAGGAAAACAGAATTAAGACAGTACTCAATAACAGGCATGTCTAAATTCCACTCAGTATTGAGGGTTTTGCATGATACGTAACACATATAGGTATTACACAATATTTCCTATGGAAGCATTTTTAGTATAATTCTAAATAGTTCCAGTTAAATGGAGTTACAATACACCCTTTTTCTTCTTATTATTATTGTTATCATATATCATATATTTTGCTCAAATGCAATTCATCTATCACAATAACAGATGGATGTAATTGTTGCCGATCTTGATGGAGGATCTATCCGTGTCCCAGAAAGTCTGACGGTGTCTCTCTTGCCAGAGCCATTCTGGAGCCAGACCCACGCTGCTCTCTCAAAGGTAGATTTTACAGGGTCTGTTATTCAGTCTCTTCTTCTCTTTCTTTTTTTCTCTTTCTTCTCCTTTCCTTTCAACATTTTTTCTTTTTTGTTCTTCCTTTCTATTTTCTCCATTCTTTTTTCCTCTTTTTTCCTGGCATTCTTCATTTTTTTCTTGTTCTCTTTTGTCTTCTCTTTTGTATATTTTCCTTTCTTCTTCCTATTCCTTATTGTCTATGTTCTATTTACCTACATATTAAATTTAAATAGCTCTATTACTTTTTGTGAAGTGTTAACTATTTATCTAATTCTGTTGGAACTTCAAAGTCAGAAAATAAGATTCACTTTTGAAAGGAAGGTCTGACAACATATCTAGTGAAAATTGAGTATTCTAGAAGAACCTGTTCTTGGATCTAAGAAAGGTTGAAGATGGTTGCTATTACTGTACTTTTAAAGTTACTATTCATTTGTCTATTATGCAGGTGCTTCATCCTGATCTCAGCACCGCAGACAATGCCTTTCCCTCAAGTGCTGGTATCAGGGCCTCTCCGCATATTGTGATGGACAAAGAAATCAGAGCTGTGTTCATGCGCATGTTTGCAGAGTTGTTACAGGGTTACCGATCATGTCTCACCATTATCAGGATACATTCAAAACCAGTCATTACCTTCCACAAGGTATGGAGGAGGGATACTGAGTTGATAGGGTTTCTGAAGTTGAATTTAATCTTTTTCTAGTATTGATATTAATATTATTAATAGTATTTTTACACTGCAAATGATTGCAAACACATAGTAATAACCTGCATAAGAGGTAGTGTTTGTGTGTTAGCTGATTTTTATATTATTAAAATTATTTTCTGTATTCAACTCATTTTTGAACTCTGGCTATTGCACTACATTTAATTTCAGGGTCACCTGAATAAACCAGAACTCCTAAGTACAAGGAGAATGTTGTTTTCCTTTGTGTAAATCTTGGTCATGCTTTCAATTGTTTTTAGGTAAAAGTATCATAGGAAGGCTCTAGTCTCAGAAGCAATGTTGCTAGAGCCATGGAACTTCATACCTATATATGTAATGCAGAGAACCCAAAACAGCCTCCATTATTATCATATGTATTGGTGCCTTTCAGATTTTGGACCACCATTATCATGACATGTGTAGATGCTGTTTATTGTCTTTTAGTTAAATAACCTATCCCAAGAAAATAAGAAATGAAATGTCTTTATCTTTTACTTTCAGGCTCCATAGATTTACAGAAATTTTGTCATTCATTTATTCTTTTATGAGTAATTGCATCTATATTCTTGCAGGCATCTTTCCTTGGTAACCGTGGAATGGTGGACAACGAGTTTGTGGGCAAGGTCTTAGACTGCATGTTCTTCACCACATTTGTCACAGAGAGAGGCCCCCCTGGAGAGTCTGTGACCTATGGGATGACCTCTACTCTGGCATTGGGGACCAACTACGTCTGGAGCAACATGATAGTCGAATGCTTCTAGTCCATATTCAGGTGCAGTGTTTATTGTGACAAATGTAGAAGAGGTATGAATGAGTATTCCTGGCAAAGATTTAAGTGATGCCAGCCAAGCAATGTCACTGTGAAGATATTCATTCTCGTTCATACCTTTTTAACATTCAGATGCAGATTTTCAGAGAGAGAGGGAGAGGAAGGTAAGGAAGAAAGAAAAAGAGAGTGAAAGCAAATGGAAAGGGAGAGGAAGGAAGAGTTATACTAGGTGTAATGTAGAAATTGTTATAAAAGCAACAATGCAAAAGTGGACAGTGAAAAGTTCATAACAGTTTGTAGGCTTTATTCTTAAGAGTTTAATGTGTTTGCTATGGTTATTGAGCACAGTCTTACTTGTACTTTCTTCTCCAGAGGAAAGTATGATATACTACTGCAATAGAAACAAAAGAAAAACATTTTGCTTCCAGCCCATAATATAGTCATTGCCAAAGCAATAGCAGTTGTTTTTCTTAATTAATAATTGTGAGTTTTACAATGTCTAAGACTATTGAAAGCTTAATAAGATTTACTGATATTATTAAGTGTGCAAAAAAAAAATTATCTTGAATAACAGTGTTATATAGTTAACAGTAAGAAAAATCAAATGCATTTTGAAAAATAATGTGAGTAGTATGTAATTACACCAACTCAATATACGATGGTATAAAAAAGTATTGTTTTATGACTTGCCTATGGAGAGGATATGGGGTGTTTTATCAGGTTGACCACCTGAGAGAGCAAGAGATGGAGGGAGACAGAAAGTGTCTGTGTGTCAGTCTATAATGCTTCAGGGAAATCATTAACCATTGTAGAATTAAATACTATTATATGTTAATATTAGAGAAGAAAATGTGAAACATTCCATATCAAATGTATCTTTAATCCCTTATTGCCATAAAGGCTAGACTTTTGCATTATGATTATGTCACAGAAAAATTCTGGCCCATCATTATAGGATTTAAAGAGACACAGTGCAAGTTACCATATACTCTGCTTGATTCTTGTATTTACTGTTGCATCATTCATTTTTTCTTTATCCCTGCAGGAACTTGGTCAGCAGCTGTACAGCAATGAAAACCCAAACCCACAGCCATTTGTTGCCAAGATTCCTAAGCCCACTGAGGGTTCATTTACACGTATCCATCAACCAGTCTTCCCACATATAGATGTTCAGCAGGTCCAAAGTATCATTGATGAAGGCACTGCCAAAAAAGTGAAGTGAGTACTGAGTACAAGCAGGAATTCTTAGTCTGTACTTGGAAAATGTGTTGCAAATTTGGCTTTTTCATTGCTAATTAAGTGACAAAATTTTACATGCATGTACACATAGAGCACTTTTAAACTGCACTGATAGGCTCTGAATAATTAAATCACTTTGGTCTTGTTTGAAATTCAAATAAAAACTTATTTTTCACTTTTCAGAATCCCACAAAAAGTGGGCCAGCCAAGAATTGTTCCTATGGGCCCCCATATTTCTAGTCTCCAGTCTGGCAGAGGATTAGTTTCAAGTTCTGCAAGAAGATTAGAGGTATGTTTTATATGTCTTAAATTACTCTATTGTTTATTAGCTATAATTTGAGATATCTTTTGCTCTTCCTTTTTATCATTAAGAGGTAATTGCATAGGCATACACTGTTGGTTTCTATGACAGTTTTCATGTATCAATACACAAATATCCTGCTTTAGTTAAATTTTGATATTTATATGTTTGCCTCTCTGGTTCCATGAATTTGCATTACCCATGCTATTCATAGATGAGAAAGTAGAATTTTAAAATTTGTTAGTAATGGAAAAGCTGGTAATTTTGTAGATAGTCTTTTTTTCTTGTTTTCTTTAAAAGGATGTAATATCAGATTTTTTCTGTTATTATTATTTTTGTATATATGTTCTGTATGTTTGTGTGTGTCTTTTTGGATACATTTTGTGTGTATATATGTGTGTATGTGTGTGTGTGTGTGTGTGTGTGTGTGTGTGTGTGTGTGTGTGTGTGTGTGTTATATATGTATATATATATATTATATATATATTTATATTATATATAATCTATATATTATAGATTTACTGGAATCTCATTGGCTTAGAATTTGTTTGATTTCTATTGCTGGGTAATGGTGCTAGTTTTACTCAATTCACATTGCTATACTCATTGATCTCCTTTCTTTGCAGGTTATGAGGAATTGTGTGAACTGCATATTTGAGAACAAAATAAGTGACGCTAGAAAGACATTCCCTGCAGTATTAAGAGCATTAAAGAGTAAAGCAGCTCGCTTGGCTCTGTGCACAGAGTTAAGTCACCATGTCCAGGGCAATAAAGCTGTTTTAGAACACCAGCAGTTCGATTTAGTGGTTAGGCTAATGAATTGTGCACTGCAGGTTTGTATGAGAGAACACTGTTTTGAATAAAACTCTATATATCACAAAAAGATCTCATGCCATAGTTACTTGAAAATAGAATTGTAAATGAAAAGTTGGAGATTAAGTGTATATTCTTGGTCATATAAGAGAATATATTTACTTTATGATGTGGGATTATCATTGTTATTTCTAATTATTTTCATTGTTCCAGGATGATTCTCCAAATGAGCATGGTGTTGCAGCTGCTCTGCTTCCTTTATCCACAGCCTTCTGTCGGAAATTATGTACAGGAGTCATACAGTTTGCCTATACTTGCATACAGGTATTCTGAATATTAATTGGATCTCCCTCCAATTAATCCTTTTTCCTCCATCCCCCCCCTCTTCCTCATTCTCATAAAACTGAAGGAGCTATATCTCAGATAATGCAATCATACAAGAAAGCATTTTTAACATTAACAAGTGTTTATTGGAATCATTTAATATCTGCTTTCATTGAAACTGATGGCAATGTATTCCATTGAATTATCAAATTAATATTTAACTACAGATTTTATTTTGTATGAATATGTATAAATGTAATTTCAGGATCATTCAGTTTGGGCACATCAGCAGTTCTGGGAAGCAGCGTTTTATCAAGATGTTCAGAAGGAGATCAAGAGCTTGTACCAAGATCGATCTCAGCAAGCCAGTCGGACTTCACTCTCATCTGATTCGTCTTGTATTAAGGATCCGTCGTTAAGTCCTGTGAACCCAAGAGATGTAAGTTTGTGTGTCTGTCTGTTTTGTTTTTCTTGTGTTTGTTTTGTCTGCATGCTTAAAAACAGAACTTTTCACATTTTGATTAGTGATATATGGAGATATATTTATGAGAATTTTGCATGTTATTATTGTGGGTATTTTGATAATCTTTGGTGCACTGCTTCCATTAATTTTGGGACTAAGCACTACTTTGTTATGTTTCACAGGTAATTCACTAGTTTCTCTTAACAGCCCTCAGATTCTGGTTCTTGGAAGGAGTCCAGATTGTCCTTTCTCAGACCACATGAGTCCTCAGCTTTAGAAATTGCAGCAGAGCAGATGAGGCTCTGGCCTATATATTGAAACAAGTAAGTCATATGCTTATTTTACATACCTCTTATGAAGTAATTTTTTTCCCAGTAGTTCAACATAATGATGGAATAGAGTTAGAGAAGCTTATTTCTTTTAATTCCTTGCAGGAAAACAACGGGAAATAGTGGAACAAGAGGAGTCCACTCTATACTCTCAGGCAATCCATTATGCAAATAGGATGGTGTTCCTTAGAGTTCCCATAGATGTTAATGCAGCCACACATAGACGTACCTTCAACGAACGTGACACTGCCAGTAACAGTATTACAAATAGGCAAGTAGCTTACTTTTATAGTTTCTGACTAGAAGTTTTATTTTTTGAAATGCCATATATATTAGGTTACCTATGTTGAGTGCTTTTTAAAGTTTATTGTTATCTTTTGCTTATGTAATTCTTCATATAAGATCCCAATATAAAGTTTTCCAATTATAAAATTAAAAACTGGATTCTTTTTATGTGTACATTACTGAGTTTGAAACATCAGTATTTGCAGTTAAATGATTCAAAACATTTAAGTTTTGTAAATTCGATGTAATGTAAACAGGTAGGGTTACTAGAATTCCTGTTTCTTGTGGATGCAGTTAGACAGCCATTGTTTACAGAGGTTAGTATAGCTGGAAATAGTGTAGATAACAGATTTTTTGTTTTAGTCTGTAAAGGTCTTTATGCTGTGTTGATTACCAGTTTTGTTTTGATATTTATGTTTTCCTTATATGTATTTTAGCATGGCAGAGAGTGATAGTTTAGATGCTGAGTCCGGCTTTGAAGACCAAGAACAGAGTGACCGTGAAGCCAGCGTAGTGCGCTTTGTGGCAAGATTTGTTGACAAAGTATGCACGGAAGGTGGTGTGACAGGTAAGAAATGGAGAGGATATATGTATAAACAACTAACAGATAGTAATGGAGGACTAATATGTTCTAATGGTTCAGTGTTGATGTGATGTTGCAGTTTAACCCAGTCACGCCGGGGTACATTTTGTAGCCCAAATTAAAAAAATCCGGGAAGCTACAAAATCGGCGGGCGGAGCTTCCCCGGAGTCTGTCCGCCCGCCCGGCCGCCCGCCGCTTTTGCCGCGGAGCACGGCTCCGAGACAGCATCGCACTGGCGGGCAGGCCAAAACTGTTTATTTTTTCCTTGTGTCTCATATATGTGACACCCGGGATGGATGGGTTAAGTTATGGTAGACATACCACTCATTTGTGACCTGATGGTTTTGTGTACAGCAGCATGCATTGTTGGTGTTCACTGGCATTCCTTCATATTGAGTAGAAACACCTTTAAAGTGTGAAACTGTAAAGAATCTTTGTAAAAAAAAAAAAAAAAAAAAAAAAAAAAAAAAAAAAAAAAAAAAAAAAAAAAAAAAAAAAAGTAAAATTAAGGAAGCAGTAATGACAGAGTAGGAATAATATATTCCCCTCCTCCAAGGGTCAGTGTTGTATGAGTTGAATCTAATAGTAGTGTTCAGTTTTACCAGTATATGTCTCACACCTAAAATTTTCTTTTCTTTCCTATAGAGGAACACATCAAGTCGCTACACCAAATGATACCAGGAGTTGTAGCTATGCATGTGGAGATGCTGGATGCTGTGTACAAAGAATCTAAGCGTTTACCACCAATACAGAAGGTAGGCATAGTTGGTTATACATTTGATTTTATTATAATTATTTTATTTGATAAGCATGCTCATAGGCCAAGGAACATATGTAGTCATTGAATATCTTATATTGGCAATGGTAGAACTTTTATTCAGTACAATGTACTTCAGCTGTTTTAACATTACTTTGTGAATCTTTAAGCTAATTAATTTTTGGTTAAAAAAGCATATTTCAATTTCCTTTCTTTTATCTAGAAGTCAAAAGTAGGAATGATTAGGACTAAAAGGATGATTTCTATAACAAGTGGTAATTATATTTATCATGTATTGTGTTCCAATAGAAGTTCTACTATGTATTAGCCCAAAAGATACTTGGCCAGTAAGAATATTTTTCCCATTTAATAATTTCCTAATTGTTTTGGTCCCTTAGTCCACCATATTCATCAGACGTGATGCTTATAGACAAAGTACTGATGGTACGTACAAACCTGACCCAAGATACACAGAAATTGTCCATGGGCAGGTGAGTCAAGAATTGGGTCCTAGAGCATTTTTGGCTCATGTATCCCTTCTGTGACTGTACAAAATGTTGGGATTTTGAAGGCAGCTGCACTTTGAAGTGATCACAATAGCTTTTTTTCTAGTAGTGTGACGTGTTTTAAACCCATGCCACTTGGGATGTCATGTAAATACATGCCATGCTATCTGTGATTTTAGTCTTTACGTAAAGATGGCTCCACAAGGGTTTAGTCACCAATGAGCCACTTACTAGTACTACTTATCTCACTTGTTTACCCTTTTCCTTGATTTTTGGAGATCTTTTGTCTTATAAAATATGTGTCAATAATATCATGATAATTATAATATCTATAATGATAATAATTGATCAACAAAGGCATTAGTGAAGAACAAAATAATAATGAATAAATTAAAGAAAAAAAAATCCTAAAACTCAAGGAAAGGTGAAATTAGGTGAGGTTGCAAGATTACTAATTGTCTGCTTGGTGGCTACACACTTTTGGAGCCCTCTATAAGTGGAGACATTTCTCAAAGCAATACTACAATGAACACAACGTTTTCTTCGTGGAGATGGATTATTGTGCTTTGTTTAACTTGCTTTCAGAAATTGACTTATTGTGGGGCTTTTCTTGAATAAGTAATATAGTTAGTTATATTGGTAATTTTCATTATTTTCTGTTGAATGGCCAGAGAGAGAAAAAAACAGGCCATGTTCTCAGTTTTAAGGAAATCAAAGGATGTTTGTTTGTATTTAACAGTGTAATAAGTGAATCACATGATTATATGATGTGAATGTTACAGTTCATTTAGAAAAATAATGATAATAAATGAATATGCAGTTACTTGGAGAATGTTGGAAATTGAGGTGTACTTCTATTATTTACTTTGTTGGGATTCTTTCATGTGGGAATTAAATAAATTTAATGATTATCTGTCATGAATTGTGTGATGCTGGACTGGATGTCACACTTTCAGAAAGCTTTAATTTTTTTTTAAATACAGAACGTACTGTTGGGCAGTGAAATGCAATCTTATGAATTGTTTGTGTTGAAAACAAAATTTATACCATACTCCCTTTGAGAAAATATGATAGTTGACTTTAAAATTTAGTCCTGTTTGTCATTTTACCTTAAAATCATTATACCATTCAGTTTTATTCTATGTGATTGTTTTGGTTACTTTTGTAGTTTCATCTACCTACCAATCCCTTCCAGCCCAAGATATTATTGCCATCGTTAGTGCCGGGTGAAGAAGTAGTGTATGAAGGCTTGAGGGTTTACCTGCTTCCGGATGGGAGAGAAGATGCTACAGGTGGTAGTATTGGAGGCCCAATACTGTTGCCTGCTGAAGGAGCACTGTTCCTCACTAACTACAGACTCATATTCAAGGGTCTGCCTACAGACCCATATGGTGAGTTGGTCTCTTCACATTTGTTCTGTTAAGGTACAGAGTATCAATTTGTTTTTTAATTTTTTTTGCATTTCTAAATATACCGTCTGTTTCCCTCAGCTTGCGAACAAGTTGTTGTTAGATCTATGCCAGTCTCCTCCATCACACGAGAGAAGAGAGTCCCTGCAAACCAGCACCCAGGACCCATGGATCAGTGGTTGAGTGAAGGCCTTCAGATACGCTCAAATACCTTCCAGGTATAACCATGCTATGCCGCCATAGTTTGTATAATAATATATATACAGAGGACTTGAGTTCCATTTGTTTTCCTTAACTTGTAGGAAAACATGTATAAGTAATATCTTTCTTTCCAGTTAATCAAAGTGGCTTTTGATGAAGAGGTCTCACCTGAAAGCATAGAAACAATGCGCAAGATGATAAACCGGCTACGACATCCACCATACATAATGAATCTCTTTGCCTTTGTGGGCCACAGTCATGTTCCACAAACACCAAGTAGACAACAGAAAGATAAGCCAGGATATGGAACATTAAGGTGTGTATTATTTTGTGTGAGAAATAAGATAGGAGTATATTCCAAAGCTTTTTTTTTTATTGTTATTATTATTCTTATCTGAGAAGTTACTTAATATTTCTGGTGAGTGAATGCATTTGTAAATATATCAAGTGAATTTCTGACACTCTGGAAGCAAGTTTATATATTTACAATGCACACTTTGATAATCAACTGAATGTTTATTACAGAGGTTTTGCCAAGAAGACATTAATGAAGACGGCAAAGGTAGCTGGACTGAAATCTGGTAAAGGTAACAAACGGAACAAGTATCACTTCCCAAGCAACAATAAATCAATGACTTCTCCAGGGAGAATGAGTTTAGCCCAAATGGCCAACATGGACCTCAGCAATGAGAACCTGGCCATAGATGATGATCTGTCCGGTAAGTCTCATTTAAGATGTTTTTTCTTCTTTTTAATCATATCCTTGTATTCTATTCTTCCTCATTTTCTCTTTACAGTTCCCTCTTCAGGGATGATGTACATAATTGTTATTGCTTGCTCAGCGTGATTTAGAAGTCTGCCTCTTTATTTTGCAATCCACAGTGTTTCCTTTTGCAATGCCACCTTCATTTCCACCACTATATATCTACTTTACCCTCTTCTTCCTTACCTTCTTATTTTTGTTCTTATTCTTCACATGCATATATACATACATACATACATACATATATATATATATATATATATATATATATATATATATATATATATAATATATATATATATATATATATAATATATAATACATATATATAATATATAATATATAATATATAATATATAGTATATAATATATGATATATTATATATATATATATAATATATATATATATATATATATATATATATATATATATATATATATATATATTATATATATAGATTATATATATATTATATATATATATATTATATATATATATATATATATATATTATATATATATATATATATATATATTATATATATATTATATATATATTATAATATAGATATATATATAATATATATACATATATATACATATATATACATATACATATATATAATATATATATTAAATATATATATATATATATATACATATATATATTTATATATACATATATATATATATATATATATATATATATATATATATATATATATATACATATATATATTTGACTTCGTCATTTATATATACTGTATGTACATTGAGGTATTTGCTCTTGTTCTGTCCAAGAGATTGGTTGTAGAAGCTATAGAGATGAAATGTTAACCTAACCAGAAAAGACAAAACTATGAAGAAAATAAACCCTGAAAGCACCACATTTTCCTCCACTCTCATGTCAACAGATAAGGAAAGTCAGAATATAGAATCTGAAAACAACAGTACTAAATTGACCCTACACAAAAGGGTAAGAATCCACACTTGGAAAGAGAATAGCATTTTCTACCCATCAGATGCCTTATTTCTTAATCCCTTAGTGAATGTTAACAAAACCACCATGATAAGGACAGTAAAATTAATGTCAGAATTGGTGAGTGTAGATCATAATAGCTTGGGATAAGCATCTCAAGAGACCTGGCAGTTTGCCATATAGTATTCATCATAGAAGACCAGCTCAAAGGAACTGGCTAAAGAGACAAGGACTTAGCTGAGATGAGAAGAACATGGTCAATGCCACACTTGAATTTTCAGGGAGCGTACAATGGGAGTAGTGCAAGCGTAAAAGCATAGTCCTGGATTTGAAAAGTAGAATGACCTGAATTGGAAAACTACAAGACCTGTCTATTGCAATTCCTATTGAAGCTGCAGAAAACCATCTATGGATCATTAAAAGCAATGACCTCAACTGACCAATGGTACCTGGATAATCACACTAGTGATGCCATACCATCTTGACCCAGTGGAGCAAAATAACCTCTACTGTCCACTGTACTCTTGACTCATGAATTTGGTTTATACACTTAGTCACTATTCCAGGAGCTAGGCTATTTTATAGGGGCTTATCACAGTCTTCTATCTCTGAAATGAAGGGGCCAGGCTACACTATGTATATGTATGAAGAATGTAAAAAAAATTACATGAGTTTGAATAACTTCACATCGCAAGAGATGTATGTTTGTAAAATCCAGAAAAAATTACACATGCATTCTGATGTGATTTTTGAACAAATTCATCCTAGATCTAGTGCTTGTATGAAGTACTTTTTTTTATTTCAACTTTTTTGTGTGTGTGTGTGTGTGTGAATTTTTGAAGTGACCGACTATCAGGATTTTTTCGTGTGTGTGTTTTTTTTACACATTTGTCTTTTTTATAAGAAGCACAGGAAAAATAGCAAAAACCATTTCATGCAAGCAAGAGATTTATCATTCAGCTACAAAATGAGCCATAAAACTTTTATTTTGGACTAAAATTGCGTCTGATACAGCTTTTGCGTCTACAAAGGTGGTGTACCGAGATATCAGCATTTTTCGTTTTCTTCATCTTTCCATGACTATCTTGGTATCAACAAGACAAGGTATAAGATTAGTCTTCCTACACCATAATCCTCTATCATCTACCTGCATTCTGAACTCTTCCGGACATTGCCAGTACGTAACAGTTTCTCAAAATCTTACAGTAATCTGGGGTGTCTACAGGCCTTCACTGACCTTTTTTTTTCTTTCTTTCTTTTTTAATTCTCAGAAGTCCAAAAAAAATCATACAGCCATTCTGATTTTATGTCTGAATAGAACTATCCTTCTACTGTTATATGCATTTTAATGAGATTTTAGCCAAAGGTGTGTTTTAACCTAACTTAGACGTTTATTGCACTTTGGTGGTTATGCATACCATGGCTTGGATACAGAAGTTTTTTTTTTTTTTTCTAACACGAAAAGTTATGAACAGATTTTAATTAAAATTTTACCTGAGTTTTGTCTTAGCCTAATTAATATGGTGGTGATCTGGATCATTTGGCAATCCTACCCCCCATTTTGGGGGGGGGGGGTGAACGGCATATCATGTTTATTTGTTTGTATGAAAAATTTCTTCATTATCGTTTTTTGGACGTTTGCCAGATTTTTAAAATTATTCTGAAAAATTGAAGGTTGGTCTCATCTTATGTGAAATTTAATAAGCTTTCAGAAAATAATCCCTTTTTTAAATTATCTCTAATCATTGCGTCACATTTGCTGATTTTCTAAGGCGTCGTGAAAAAAAAAATCAGTCGACATCAAAAATGGCTGCTACCACCTAAGAAATAACAGTCGGGTCTTGAAATTTTCAGGGGAGAACCGGGGGCCTAGGAACTCCTTTGAAATGCCTTTAACTCAGTTTTCGAAAATCACCGATAAAAGACCAGACAGTCCCCTTAAATGTTTTGTGGGTATGTGCAGGCAGGCTGGGATGAGTGCTTGCATGCATGTGTGTGTATGTGTGTGCATACGAACGCGTGTGTGTGCAAATGCTTGTGCTTGTGAACGTGTGTGCTTGCAAATGGGTGTGCGTGTGTGTGCGTGCACGTGTGTGAGTGCGCGCGCGCGTGTGCGTGTGCGTGCGTGCGCGTGTGTGTGTGTGTTGTGTGTGTTGTGTGTGTGTGTGTGTGTGACGTGCATATGGGTGTTTGAGTGTGAAGAAAGAAGTTGGAAGATAAATAGCAGTCAAGTTTTTAAATGTATTCAAGGATATTTGTTACAATGTAGTTATCTCACATAGATAAGAACAAAAGGAAGTACCTTTTTTCCAATGTGTTTTGTTGTTTTTTTTCACTGTTTATGTTGACAGCTATTCTTCATTTTCACACTTTCAGAAAGAGAAAGTTAGTGTGAGCCTGTGATAGCATAAGCACTTTTTGGTAACCTTAACATTATCTCGTTCCCATTCATTTTACATTTAATTTTGTGCCTTGACTGGCTCTGCATCATTTGCACAGTTACTATTGCCTATACAGCAGGGGTATCATACCAGTTTCTATATTTTGGGGTTAATTTCCCTCCTGTCTGTCAACAAATTCTGGTTGGCTTCCTCAGGTTGATTAAATTCATGGATCATCTTTGTCCCTGCATTTAGTCAGGAGTTTATTGAAG